AATAAAAACCAACATTCTAAATAAAAGAAACTTTATTACTTACCAAACGGAGAAAATGTCCATAATAAAAAAATTACACGAACAATGGCATCTATTACCTTTAATTTATAGAGTAGCAATTCAAATTTGAACTCTATAACCCTTACAATTAGATTTAGTTTAGTAGTTTTTATAAAACTGGTGACCGCACATTCAATTCTATACATCTCCACATATTGGTTTTTACAAACCTTTACACTCGTAACTTAAACTTACAGCTCAAAATGGAGCTAATTGTTTGATTAAAATGATTTTTCAAATTTTTCTATGACTGATTCAAGAGTAAATAAAAATTTAAAATTTTACTGTAATATTTTAAGAACAGAGTATTAAGTTTAAACTTAATATGAAAAGCAACAGTGTAAAAGTTTCACCGAACAATATTTTTACACAAACACATAACACGACATATACCTACATTAAAATCCCAACATTTCTCTTAATTTTGGACTTGAATCAATATACTTACATGATTTACTTTTCTAAAAACAATATCTTTTAGAAATCAACATTTACTCCAATTTACAATTTTTATTATAAATAAAAACGATCTTTACGGATTTATTCAGGTTTTAAAAACCTTAGTTTCTCCCGTGACCATGATTGCTGTAAAGCATTCGAAACATCAGGAACCAAAAGTTAAAATAAATCCGCGAAAAAATCCGAAAAGATAGTTTTATTTAAAATGTTAAAATTCGCGTAAATATAAGTATTACAACTTTTAGTCTATATAAAAAAAAATAGTATCATGTCCAAAATCTCGAATTCACATCACAAACATTGGTCACGCCAGTCTAAAAATATTGACACGAATATATTTAATATAACGTCGAACATTGAATTCATTTACAAGTTTAATAATATTTTAAATTTAAATTCAATTTTCAAAAAAAAATCTCACAGTCTTTTAATTTTAATTAACAAATAAACAAATCGAATATAATTACAGAAAAGTTTATTATACACGCTTTGACATTTAATTTATTGACATTTATAAAAAATAACAATAACATAAATTGTTTAAATGTATACTCGAAATATGAACATAATTCATTACATTTTTTGAACAATTAATATCTTGTCATAACATATAATTGGATTTTTGTTTTAATAAAGTATTATATTAGACGTTTTTTATTCCTAGAACCTGTAATATTAGACTTTTCCATAAAAAAAATATGTTACATTTTATTTAACATGACATTAATTTGGAACCTCATAAACTGTTATATATGAAATAAAAACCAAACTATCATTTCTAGAACTTTAATATAAAGCAAAATAATAGATTTTCTTCGATTTTCATACAACCCTGTCTGTACATTAAGAACAAGTAATAGTAAGGCATATGACGTGAAATCAGGCACAAGATACAATGTGATCAAAAATAAATACATTATTTTGAAATAAGGCATGTCAACGTTGTAAAGGCACTATTAATATAATAATATAAAATTCAAAATGGCAACATTAGTATTAGTGAATAAGAAAATCATTTATAAGCTTTTATTTTAAGCTTAGTCCTGTTTTAATTATGTTCATAACATTTATTATAATACATAATTGGAATTATAATACTGTGGCTCTACAGTGGCTTTAGTTCCAAATTTTAAAAATTCGTATCTTTCCACACGGTTTAAATAAGACTTTCCGCAATCGCAATAGAAAATTGAAAGAATTTATAGAAATGACATATATTCCTTAATGTCTATTAACAGATTGGTATTATATACATTCTTTGTATATAAAACAGCACTGAGCTACTGAGGCATTCACATGGACGGGTGTACATGTTGTAGGCACATTGTTAAATGTTGCACCTAAGCTAATTGTACAAAATGGCAGATTACATTATTTCATCTATTTTTTTTTAATTACCAAAAATACCACAAATTTTAGCTACTGTTCATTTAATTTAAAGAGTTCCCATTCTGATCGAAAATATGTAAAAAAATCATCTCATTTTAACAACTTTGTGATTAGAACATTACGAACTTTTTATTACTCGTATTATAGTAGGTAAATTAAATTTGTTTTCGTCTCACTAAAACGAGCTATACTGTTGGTCAATTATATTTCATTATTCGAATGTTTTCTTGGATGTTAATACGTTATATTATCTGTATTTTGCAGCGTTATATGTATTACTATCTATCAAATATACTTATACATAACTTATGTAAAACGTGTAAATATTTATGATTATACATAATAAAAAGTTAGGCTATATTGAGTAACTAAAAATATTTAATGTAGGTAATACAATAAAATGAAAATTAATTACATTGACAAATGTCACTATTAAAAGTGACAGTTCTAATTTTCAAATGACAGTTGAAGACATTTTCTAGAAAAAAAAAGACAAAACATTTTTAATCGAATTCACTCTCATAAGGCACGGGACACGCTACAGTGTTTCTCAGGAGGAACTAAAAAAAACTTATTATTATTTTGAGATCAATTCAATATTAAATTTTGTCTGTGCGATGTCCCAATTTGGTTTAAGACACTAATGAGATTTTGTACGACTCTTTATATTTTTATACCGAACAAAAAAAATATACAAATAACAAAATCTATTCAAAATCAATTTACTTATAACGAAAAAACAATCTATCCAATACTTATTCCTTCTCAAATACCACGATGGCACATACACTCGACTGAATTTTTATCTAAAATATACCAATTATTTATAATAACGCTGAAAATTTACAAAATTTTGATTTTATTTACCAAATAAATATAAACGCCTTTAATTCCGTACATACATAATATGCATAATGAGGGCTTAAATAGTGCTGCATTTTCAGCTATAAAAAAATATCTTTTTATACAGATAAAATCTGACTTTAAATTGTCTAACAATAAGATAGCCTGAAATTAACCTTCTAGGCATATTATTAATTAAAATTAATCTATTCTAATATTATAAAGAGGAATATTTTTTTTTGTTTTTATCAAATAGGCTCCGAAACTAATTAACCGATTTAGATGAAGTATGGTAAGAAGATAGTTTGAGACCCTGAGAAGGACAAAGGACAGTTTTTATCCCGGAAATCATCCCTTAAGGGAGCGAAAGTTTGTATAGGGAAGCAACCTAGGGATGAACCCAAGCAAACTAGAGTAAGTCGCTAGTCGTCTACATGAATAAAAATGAAATGCTGTTCAATGGTAAGTGCATCAGTTAAAAACCTACTTGATTATTTTTTTTTGGGAATTTGGAAAAGTAATTCGTAAAATGGGAAAATCGGAGAAAACTGAAATTGATTTTTTTTCTATATGGATTTTTTTTATGAACTTATATTTTACATACAAAATTGAAAGAACAGCACAATGTCTGTCGGGTCTGCTTATTGTTAAATAATAGAGGTAATAAGTGAAGAAGTCATTAAATTGGTACAAATATATTTGAATCAAGGCAACGGTAGCTCAATGGTGACGCGTTTGGGAAATCGAGTGAAGCGGGTTCAAATCCCGGATCTAGCCCCTGTGATATTTCCTTGTGCGAATCATTTTCAACATTAAGGACAACATCATGAGGAAACGTGTACGTCTGGGAGAACCTAGCTAGTTTTAAAGACATGTGAAATCCGCACTTGACCTGCGTGGTGGACTATGGCCTGATCCCCCCTATTGAAGGGAGGCCCACTCCCAGCAGTGGGACGGTAAAAAGGGCTGAATACATACTATAATTGAATCAAAGCAGCGTTTATGCCAGTAACACGAAACCCTCATTAATTATTAAGTTAACAGAATCTTAACACCAATTTCCGATACATTATTACATTTGGTCTCGACATATAACGAAATAACTAATCAACATGTATCTACGACATTATTCACTTAAGAACACATAATCACTATAGCTATATCTAATGTTATTGTGGCCCCATAAAGGAATATTTTTACTCCGAATTATAAAATAATAATTTTATTTATCCAAACCCACTAACCCAATGGCGAATTAATGTTATGTAAGCATTAATCTAAAGCCGAACTGAATGCATCTTTTAAAATAAATTGTAGCAGAAAGAAGTTTCATTTTGATTAATGATTATTATTTTAATAATTAAGTTTTATTTTCCATCAGAATATTTTATTTTCTCAATTCGACATTTTTATAAATCATTAATTGTTACATTATTTGATTTTTGTACCAAAAAACGGGAGCCACATAACCACTTAAAATATAATGTAAACGTTAGTCAAAAATAAAAATTGCATTTTTTTCATAACTAGAAGCTTTATATCGTTATATTCGTATAATTACAATACCTTGACATACCATTTCCTTGCGCACTAGCTTCGAACCTGTGACTTCCTAGGACCCTTCAAACTCTTTTCTATTTACATCGATAATATCTCAAACATGTCAGTATAGGGCGTTTATTTATAAATGATTTAACGTTATCTATACTTATACAGTATAGTTTATTCATATATTTAAAATTAAAATCTGATGATACTTTAGATGGATTCTATCGTAAATATTGAATGCTGGCAACACCGCATACAAACAAGTCATCCAGAACCGCCGAATCACTATAAAGCATTCACGAGTATAATTCATTTTAATGTATGTCTTTATAAAATACAAGTACCTTAAAAATACGTCTTACGTTCCTCCATCTTGGACACAATTTGAGCTACAATTTTATAAAACGTTTGGGCATGTTAATAAAACAAAACATATATACCTGCTACATGGCAACACTTGAAAGTTTTACAAACGAATTGCGGGTAGATTTCAAACTTGCTATACATTTTTGAGACAACACAATCCTCAATATCAAAAAAAAAATACATATTTGTCTTTGAAAACTCGACTAAAGTATAACAAAAATGAAGCACATCAAGTTTGAAACCCACAAGTAAAAAAACAAATGCACATTTTCCTGAGATTTGCCAATAAAACCAATAAAAAATACGGTGGGGATAAAACGAGTGTGACGAGGCTAAGAAACCGACGATATAGCATTATGGGGGGATCCCATTTGTGTTAACACTTTATCTAGCCATTGTAGGGGCCCATGCAAATGTATTTCGATCCAACATGGGGTTGACGTCACATCTTGTCTATGGTACTCCGCTCCCCATCCCTTCACGAAGGACATTCGTATCGTGCACATCTTCGTCAATTCATAAACCGCTTCAAAGCCATGGTTCACACTTTGGGAAAGTAGTTGAGCGAATTCGCGGTTGTTGAAGATTTTCAAGGAGCACCCCGGCGGTATTTTGCAAACGGTAGACGGATGGAAACCGTGGTGATGATTGCAATTGCGACTTTGCACGAAAATGGCCGCATCTGATAGACACTCGGCATAAACCTCCCCACCCACATAATACAAATGGACGCCCTTTCCTATGTGACGTCTAGTATTTTCAATTGTGGAATTCCGGTTGACATTGCTGAGTTGTCCTAAGCAGAAACGATCGCTATTATTCGATGGATCTGTAAAACCGTCTACGACTACTGAATGGGAGTTGCAATGGAAAACCTCACCAACGCGACAGTTTAGTTCATAGTATGCTACAGACGCCCAATATAGCGGTTCTTGGTACGATACTGGTGCCACCTCACCAGGAGGCTCTGCATCATCAGACGGAGGGGAATATGCCGGTGGTGGAGTGTCTGGTAACTCTGAAGTAGCTGAAGGTGGAAATCCAGACCCTGAATAGGATACATTGTGAGGCATAGCTGGCTCTGTAGTCCTTTGGAAGGGCAATAAGGAATGGCCTGGAGCGAACTCCGAATGTCGAGGCACCAGTACTGGTGGTAAGACGGGACTTTCCACACGCTTATAGTGGTAGGGATTGATGCACACCTCCTTTTGTTTGGCACTGAAGGGATACTGACATATCTCCAATGGTTTCAACTCGTGATGGCTTTGTAGGTCAGGCCACCGCCATACTCGACAGTATATCACGTGCGGCAGACCTTTTCGATGGGATACCTAGAAAATCCATAAAATTATCTCCATTAAGATATTAAATACAATTATCTAAATATCAAAGATAATTATTTAAATATTATTCAAATGCTTTTCTTAGTTGAGTTCTGAGAAACTCTGTACTTGTAAAACAAGTTTAATCATTTTGTATGATTACTTACATATGTAATTGTTATAATTTAGGAAAACAGTAAGAAATATATAAAATAGCATTTACTAAGTAATTACGTAAGAAATTTCTTAAGATATAGCTGTTTTAAGTTTTTTGAATGAAGACTTGGCAATAGCAATTGTTCCACAACATAATAAATATTGTTACACTACATAATCGAATACTTTTGTATATATTGCAATTATTGTTTGTTTTTTTTTCTTCAAAAAGTAATACTAAATTAATATTCACCTGCAATCGTCCATCCAATGACCGCGGTATCGTAACACACTTCGAAGGCGTGCCGGGACAAGAGAGAGCACGTTCCAACTCCTCGATAGCACCCTTTCTCTTCTTCAACTTTTTCACCAGGCTATCCACCGCCTTTTCAGCCCATTTTTCTTCTTCATCCCCCTGAAAAATAGAATATCGTTTTTAATGCAACAATAATAAATATAAAAAAATATAATATTATAAAAAAAATGTTTTCTGGAAAATCATCAAATAAAGTATTTTAAAGTAGAAATAGATGTTTTTTTCAATGTATTCAGCCCATTTTAACGTTCCATTGCTGAGCATGAGCTTCAGGCCATAGACCACCACGATGGCAAAGTGTGGGTTGACAGACTTCAAATGCCTTTCAAAAACTTGCTAGGTTCTCTCAGACATGCCGGTTTCCTCACGATGTTTTCCTTCACCGTAAGCAAAATGCTAATCATATTAGAAATAATTCGCACATGAAAATATCAGATGTGCGAAATCCGGGATTTGAATCTGATTCACTCGGTTTCTCAAGCAAGCGCGTTACCACTGGTCTACCAATATCTTTTTTCAATACTTTGTCATATTCATGGAGGTTATTATTCCATTCAAACTTTGATATCATTAAATCAGAGTTTCCTTGTTGATTTACACATACATACATAGAATTATACTGTATAATTTTTTGTAATATGTGACTGTGTATTCAATAATCTCGGTTGGTGGTAATAAAATCAGATAAAAACTATTTAACCAGAAGTATTATTTCAATTTTTACTAAAATACACTGTTGTGGTTACATTGATGAATACTAAACAGTATTACATATCAATGACTCGAGTAAATTGAATGAAAATATTTTCATAAAAATAGCATTAAGGAATGTATGAATTTGCAAGGATTGTGTATTTTGAGTGAACAAAAATAGGAATTCATCATAGTATCAAGTACAGTGACTCATTTCTGAGAACTATTGGAAGCCAATACACTGAGTCATAACCAAAAAAAAATAAAGATAATGTTATTTTATTCTAAACAACATAAAAATAATCTATATACCTAATATTAAAAAAAAATATGAGTTCAAAGTTGTATATAGATTTTTTTGTGAAGTTTATTATGAGATATCTAGATAAATATTAAGTATAACGCCATCCTAACGAATTTTCAGTGGCAACCATTCTATTAGAGTGTACTATGTAGTTAACACATGTAAATGAAAAAGTGCAGAACTGATGACTTTACAAGCACTACAAGAAAAATGTACCCATTCTTTGGCTCCATAACCCTGACATTTTTATAGAAGAGAAAAATTATAAATTAATAACTTTTAGCTTGACTGGCAACTCGAACCTTACAAGCTACACTACACACGAAGCCAACAATACAATGAATATTGGGAATATGATACTAATTATACACAAACATGCCTCACTATAAAATGGCTGGTCAAATTACAATATGATTTTAAAATTATTTACAGCTAATAGGTAAATTAAAACAAAGATGCGAATTTACACTATAGTATCACATAAAAAAGAGCAAAATTTAGTGTATTTAAAAAAATATACAGCTGGACCCCTTAAGAGTAGCTCATATGATCATAGTATCATTGATAGTCGCTACTAGTATTTTGCCTAGGCTTTGCTTACATGGTAGGTTTGTTGATACAAGGAAATATAATAACTGTGTGCAAGTCCACATCATCTACATCCCAATTTCACTTAAAATAGTTTAGCCTAGAATTTAAGTGGGAAGAAAGTGGAATGAAGAAAGCAAACGCAAAAGGAGAATTTATAAAGTTATAGTATACTTATTAGTTTATACCTTTTCTATGCAGTGCCAAAGACTCAAATCAAATTATTTTTATATGTATATGTTATTTTTTTATTGACACCAAACGAGACCACAAACTGACACCAAGCATATCATCTGTAGCTAAGCTCATTAGTACAATAATATTTAACTATAAGCTTAAAAGTTCAAGTATAATATTGTTTATATCTACATTACTGTATTTAAATTTCAAAAATTTACTATTTTAAAATCTTACTAATATTATCATCATTATATGTAAATGGGAAAATTTGTGAGGATGTATGGATGTTTGAATGTGTTATAGATTTATGGTTGTTTGTTACTCTTTCGTGCAAAAACTACTGACTGGATTTTAATGAAACTTTACAATAATATAGCTCATACATCACATGCTACTTTTTATAGTGGAAAAATGTACAGTTCCCGTGGCATCATTTGTTTTTATTTTTTTAGAGGTGAACCCGAGCGAAGTGAGAGTGAGCTTCTAGTAAATTATAAATTTTTAAATGTTATGAACCACTTTGAAATATATTTTACTATTTTTGTTTCTTAAATTATTATGCAAGTAAGTTTTTTTAATAATAAACATAAGTAAAACTATTTGTGACAATCATTATATGATAAACAACTAAATGTGGCCCTTATCATTAAAGTTTGCACATACTTTAGCCTTATATGTTTCTTTAAGAGTAGTAGAATATATTTTTTTATTTTACCCTTTATAGCATTTTTCAACAGTATTTCCATACAAACTTGACCCTAAAGATGTCTAACACACTTTAATTGCCTATCAAATAATATTATGATTATAGAATTGGATAATAAAGATTGATTAACTTCATCTGTAAATATTAAAAAAAACAATATTAAAAGAATATATATCAGAAGCTTTCTACTATTCATTAAGAGCTTGGGTATTTCCAAATTACTTATTTAAATACTTTCTTACAACCTGGAATTACCTTGAGTCACATAATATTATGTTATATTGTATATTTTTATGTGTTTTTATTAACACCTTAGTGTACAAAATTGATTTAAAAATGATTCCATATATAACTAAACATTTGTTCAAATGTTAATTGCTAATATTGCATTAAATATATATTATTAAATAACTATTATTTGCATTTTCTTTGTTTTGTAGATTACTCTATAATTAATATTTTAAAGAAGTAGTCTACCATTATTATCATCTACATAAATATGTATATTTATTCAAAAGGTAAAATTTACTATATTTATAAAAGTTAAAAGGTAAAATAATAAAGTAAAATTAATAAAGAAGACATAAGACTTATAATCATTCGTAAACGGTATATCCATCATAGACATGACTCTCGTTATAGTACACGTAATGGAAATCCTGGCATTGATTATTGTAATTCATGTGTACGAATGATAATTTTACCTGCTTCCAACCAAGCAACTTTTTAACAGCAGGGCTTGTAAAGGAAAACAAGCTATTCAGGCTGGACATGGGCCCGCTGCTGGAGGATTCACCATCATCGGTGTCCATGGTGACAAATGTAGAAACTTCGATGAGTCACCAGGAGTTACGGGAACGCGCGGCCCGTTAATGTTTCAAGAAAAATACAGTCAATTTGCCATCGATCACCACAATTCACTTGGTATTCCCCACAACGTTCGTCAAATGTAATCACGATTATTTATTACTAAATAGCGATAAGCGTGACACTAGCACGTAACAGATTAAAACAGATGAAGCTATAGACAAACACACTTGTTATAATTGTCTATTAATGAATTTTATATTTCGATGTTTCTTATTTTGAAATAACAATTTTAAATCCATTTTAATATTATTTTTTATAAATAAGAAAATAATAAATAATTTCTTAAAAACAAAAGACTCGTATACTTATTTTGTACTAATATTTTTAGTGCCTATATTAATGTTGCCATTATTAATAAACAGGGTGAAATAGCAATAAAGCAGCCAGAAAATTCTCGAATTTGAAGTGTCAGTGTCCGTTCATTTACAATTCAGATATTTAAGTTCTAGATTTGTTGAAGTACTACAAGAGTTGCAAGAGTTATAGTGCAAAGTTTAACTATATATTATAGTGCTCATTATACTGTGATCTGATTTTTTATAAAATTGTAAAGAATATTAATCATGGAACAGGTAAGGTTATGCCGATTTCAGCTGTTTTGTTTCGTTAAATGACCAAATATTAAAATTTCAAATAACTTTCAGGTTAATCAATTAAAAGAAAAGGGTAATGCAGCTTTGTCTTCTGGCAAATATGATGAAGCCATAAAAAACTACACCAGTGCAATAGAATTAGATCCTAAAAACCACGTTTTGTTTAGTAATCGTTCAGCGGCACACGCTAAGGCTGGAAACTACCGGGCTGCACTGGAAGATGCAAATAAAACTGTATCATTGAACCCTTCATGGAGCAAGGGTTATTCCCGCAAAGGTAGTGCCCTAGCATATCTCGGAAAGCATGAGGAGGCAATTGCTGCGTACGAGAAAGGTCTGGAACTTGAACCAAGTAATCAACAACTAGCTGCAGGGTTGGCAGAAGTGAAAAAGCAGGCAGAAGAAGCTAGATTAAGAACAGAGGCCTTATTTGAGAAGTTAAAAGCAAATCCCCAAACCAAAGAATGGCTTAAGGATCCTGAATATGTCAATATGGTTAAGGTTAGTGAAAATTGTCTTTGACTTGTTGTTCATTTTTCAAATTTTAAATTATGAAACTAAACAGCCTTAAATCATCATTTAATCAACAGTATCTATAGATACTTATATAATATATTATATTTATTGTTGCATCTTATGGAATAAGAACTCTTAGACTGCTTAATTTGTTTTATAAATTTTATATAGCTAATAAAGGTTATAGATTATGTTAATATGTACAAATATTTTACCAAAGTTTTTATATGCTTATTTGATGTACATGTATTGCCAATTATAATTAGCCTTTTATTAGATTATTAGCAACTCACTCTCGCTTTGCTTTGGGTTCATCCCTAGACAAAAATAAGTCAATCCCATGGAAACGAGAAGGAAAAAGTGGCCTACTACTATAATCTATCTTTGGGCCAAATTTCATCCATATCCATTCAGCCATTCTGGTGTGAAAGAGTAACAAACACCCATCCATCTATTCTCACAAACTAACATTTATAATATTAGTATGGATATGAATTGTAATCAAAAATCTGCATACAATAGTCTGATTGTGGTAATCCTAGTTAACTTAAAATCTGTTTGATTAAGAAATTTTTAACATCATTGCTGAAATACCTTTATGATTAAGCATTATTAATTGTCATTGACACTAATAATCTTATATAATGTGATATTATACATAGAGTAAATTATTGGCTGTAGGCTTTGTATTAAGTGATCAGTGCCATGTTACAAAACAACTGATGGAAAAGTAAAAGTGTGTTGCTGGTTCAAAATTAACATAATGTTCTATATAATATGTATCTATAGCGACACACCCTTACTTCGCTCGGGTTTGTCCCTAGCTTGATTGGTCTCAAACTATCTTCTTATCAAATTTCATCTAAATCGGCTCAGTAGATCCAGAGATTACCCCTGGTCATTAAAACATCACAAACTCACAAACTTTACGTCTTTATAATATTAGTATAGATATAAATCTTGAATTTGTAAATTATATGTAAATTAAATGTATGAACGAATACCAATTTAGAAGTTTTGTCACAAAGGTGTTATTATTTTAGTTACATTGATTGCGATAGGGAATATGCGTGATTTGTTATTCGTATAAAAAAATAGTTAAATAATATCATACCAATACGGATACTTTAAAAGCCCGCCATTTCGCGCGTTTGATGTGACGTCAAAGTATCATATGTAGAAAAATAACGACTTTAGTTGGTAGCGACAAAATCCCTGATTGGTCTGTCATAATACTATTTTGACGTCATATTCAGTCTGACCAATGGCGTGCGTTTCAACTACTTTGAATTTCCTACCTGTATTTTCAACACAAAATCAAAGATAGTTAAAATGTAAATAATATGATTTGATGCAATGACCTAGATCTTGGCTAATATTAGAATATATGCAACATGACTCCCAAAATAAATTACATTTATTTGTATTTGAAGACTAGCTTCTTCTTATATTCCATGTTACAAAGTCATTTCTCTAAATCACTATTAATAACCATAGTGACCTACTCTAGACTAGGGTCACACATTCGACTCCTTCAAAAAGTAAATATTTTTTTTAGAAATTAACAATATGACCTTAATTTATCATATTGCTTATTTCCTTACAATTTGATTGGTAAATTCAAGTATTAAACTGTTTTATTGGCAAGTGTAAAAAGAGCATTTTAAAAATATATTTAAATATATATAATAATATAGGTAAATAGGAAAGAGGAGTTCAAAGTATTAATAATTAAATTTTGATGTAAACTTAATTTTACATCACAAAAATTCCATTTAATTTTTTTTTCTTGTACATACATACTTCTTCATTCTCAAACATATTTTATTTTCTTCTTCAACAGAGTCTCAATCCTTACGATATATCCACACTAGATTCCAGAATGGAGGACAAGCGTATGCTAACAACACTTAGTGTTATGCTCGGTCTAGATTTAGGTTCTCCAATGGATGTAGACCCACCAGCTCCAGAAAATCCAGAGCCTCAACCAAAAAAAGAAGAGCCACCTGCACCAAAATATGAAGATTTACCCGAAAACAGAAGGTTAGCCTTACAGGAAAAGGATTTAGGCAATGAGTGCTATAAGAAGAAAGATTTTGATGCTGCCCTAGTACATTACAATAAAGCTATCGAACATGACTCAACGGATATAACTTTCTACACAAATATGGCGGCAGTGTACTTTGAACAAAAGGAATATGAGAAGTGTATTAAGGAATGTGAAAAGGCGATTGAAATTGGCAGAGAGAATAGGGCTGACTTCAAGCTTATTGCCAAGGCTTTCACTAGAATTGGTAAGTCAAATTAAAAAAAAAATGTTGTCTTTACATATTTTGCTATTACTTAAGGGCGCACCGAGATAATTACAAAATATTTGCGTTCGTTTGATCCCTTGCTGTATTGTTATTACTAAAACTTTAGTACACTGAAGAAACACGATTACTAGTAGTTTCTTCGATAGAGTAAAATCCAAAATGATCTCTAAAAAACAAAATAAACCCTTAGTGCGACGTCAATAATTCAAGGAAATTCGTCAGTTTTTTAATAATAACAAAACTACGTTTTCTATATCGTTTACACTTTACATTTTAAAATGTGTATTTCTTTTAATAATACGGAGGAAATACCTAAATTCGCACGCGTTCCGTCCATCCTAGCCACACACCCCCCATTTTTTTTAACGTTGGGAAATGAATTTACGCACGAAGTGTGGGACTCACCGACAAAGCCAGTACTACTCACTGAAACCCAACAAAACCTTCCCCCGTCTTAATGGGGCGTCGCAGGATCGCTTACGCATACAACTACGACGCCCCGACGGCAGGTCTGCCGAAGCAGACCACAACACCGTGGGGTTGCTCCACGTTCCATTCTGATATCAGAAAAAGTACCAGGAGCAACCCGCATGGTACACCGCCCTCCGAAGAGGGCCACCTCCCACCGCCCACCGAAGTAGGCCACCTCCCTGTGCCCTTCTTGGCTTCGCGCCCGGCTGTATTGCCGGGCACTACTGAGCCACTACAAGGTGAACGCACGTTGGGGGGAGCCACACACCCCACCTGCCCGCTTTGTCCTACTAAAATAAATAGCTCGGTGCTCTCTTAACAGAAATATTTTGATTAATTAACATATATACATCATATTTTTTTATTATTCTTATACTAATCATGCAAAAATAAATGCCGTTTATAATCATTTATTTGAACACTAGTGGCTCATCTTCGCTCCGCTCTGGTTCGTCCGTAGTTACGTTTTAACGTTTAGTATAGATATCACAAAGATGAGATATTTTCCCGCAGTTAAAAGTATCCTAAATGTTGACCCACATAACCACCTATTCTATATATGTTTAACGTCCAGAGTGTGGTAACAGATACTGTTTATCCTGGTATATATGTTGACTGTCACAAGCAATGGAGTTTGGGTTTTAACAAAGCAAGAACAACAAGAGATATTTCGCCTATCCCTATTAACATTGTCGGATATGCAAATTTGACATTTTCTTTTTATTTCACTAATCACTCTTAAAAAGTCTCTTCTTTTAGTAGCTGCAACAAAAAAATATTTTTTACGAGTAGTTTTTAAAATAGCCACAAGTAATTTTTGTTAACCTAACATGTACATTTAAAAAAATATCAACAATTCAAATTTTGACGCACTCTCCTGTAAAGTTGCCGATTTTCACATCCGACAATGTTAATAGGGATAGGCGATTTGCTTGCTAATATTATAAAAAAAAATACAATTTCTGCTTCTGTTTTTAAAAATTGTTTTGGAAAAATAGTAATGTTTTTTTACATTAAAAAAAATATTTATTTTGATGTATATGCTACATATTTTAGCATGATTTTGAGCTTTGGTCTGGAAATCGCCTTAGAAGAGTTTTTTTTGTTTATATAAAAAAATTAAATGGATAATAGGGGTAAAGAGAAGCAGGCATGCCAATTTTTTATATTTTAATTACCAGGTAACGCCTACAAAAGGATGGAGCAGTGGAAGTTAGCGAAGACCTATTATGAGAAATCCATGTCAGAGCATCGCACTCCGGAGATCAAGACATTGCTCAGTGAAGTGGAGAAGAAGATTGTGGAGGAAGAGAAAAAGGCCTATGTAGACCCGGTCAAAGCGGAGCAAGAGAAGGAACTTGGCAATGAGTACTTTAAGAAGGGTGAGTCTTTGTATTATTTATTAATTTACTAGCGATTCACCCTCGCTTCGCTCTTGTTCGTCCCTAGTTACGTTTTAACGTTTAGTATAGATTTTTCAGAGATGAGATATTTTCGGGCATTAAAAAGTATTCTATATGTTGACCCGGATATCCAGCTATTATCATGCCAAGTTTCATCGAAATCTGTCAAGTGGTTTTCTCGTGATGCGGTAACAGACAAACATACATAAATTCTAAAAACTATATATTTGGCATCTGTAACGATAATTATGACAGTTTCAATAAGATTTTCCAAAAAATATATAATGTACAGATCCAACTCGGTTAGAATTTTATTATATGTATAGATTTATTTATTTATTTATGTACCACAAAAATATATTTAAAAACAGTCAACATATACCTTGTGCACAAAAGATCAGTTATCTCTTCATGAGATCTACCAAAAACCCTCGATCGTGAGAAAAATAATAATGAGGTGCAGTGTAGGTACAATCTACCAACATCAATATAAATATACTAATGTACAAATATACACATCTACAAACATACACATGTACATACATACATATATAATTATTTACCTATTATGATGCAAGCACTTTTCAATCGTCAATTTTTACATTTTAAAAATTTAAATCTTAAGTAAGTCTTGAGGTATCTACAACCAGATCAGAAGGCAGTTCAGCTAAGAATAGCCGGTGAGAAACTTAACAGTTGCTCTTTTAACATAATATTTGCTTACAATATTTGCAAGAAAATAATTATTTACTTATCTTACTTTAGACCCAAGTAGAAATTCATAATAACAATGAGTTCCACGCATTGATTCACACTATCTAGGCTGTCACTCAAATATGTGTATTAGTCATACAATTTATTATTCTTATTAAAATTATTGTATTACAAGCGACTCACCCTCATTTCGCTTCGGTTCGTCCCTAGACAAATATAATATAGGCTTTTAGGGCTGTATTATCAGGGGCCCAGGGCCCCTAAGATAGAAAGAAAGGGGCCTTCTGTTTGCCAAACAATGAATAATATTGTGAATTAATAAAATAAAAATTTGATAACCCTGAGATCAATTCGAACAAAACATTACCATTATCTTAATTTCGTCTAGTAGGTACCATCTAACGTAATAACAAAATTTTAAAGACAATGTCAATTAGTTTAATTCTAATTAATTAAACGAATTTTTACTTTTAAACACCCACGAAGTGTTAGCCCAGGGCCCCCAAAATTACAGTTCGCCCCCGAACCAAGGGGGTTTTATTATCACTTCTGTAGTAACGTGATAAATAATATTATTGTCTTTGTATTCTAATCTGACTGCGAGAGACTTGGATGGCAATAGACACTGACGAATTGATATGAGATCGAAACTACAGAAGAGCTGTTCTTCAGCGATTCTTGAATCACATCTTGTCTAAGCTCCAATGGATTAAACTATTAAATAATTCTATTCCCGTGGTATAACAGCAACTCTTTACCACACGTTCCAAAATTTTTTTTTATCATCAATTTAACGACGTAGACGACGGGAAAATGGATTTTTTTAACTTGTTATTGCGATGCCTTATATTATATGGAACAATTGTTTTTGTTAAGCAATAAATATTATTACTTTTCGCTCAGTGGTGGAAATTCGCACGTAATTATTATTGAAAATTTGAGGAATGTTTTCTTGAATAAACAAAAAAAGTAAAAAGAAAATCGGTTGACAAACAAAGGAGAAAAAGGTACTTTTTTTCAGGTTAAGTTTTTGCCTATTTATGTATATGGTGGTGATATAGTAAATGGATATTTTTGTATCATAAATCATAATGTACGTCCACCTACCCTGTTAAATTGCAGGTATTGCACTAGGTAATATTACCTAATTGCAAATGCTATTAGGTAAACTTACCTTGGACCTTTCTTTTTTACCTTTAATAACAAGAACACTTAATTTTAATTTTTACCCTTATTAAAAACTTGATTACTAAAATTAATTAATAATAAATAAAATCAACTTTTTTCGATATAAATTATATTTGCTGCACACGTGTCATGAGAGTGAGAGTCGTTGGTAACTAATAAATTTAAAAAAAAACCTAGATAAATTACACATGGTTTTTTTTATTTGTTTTTCGGATCGTTTATATCATATATGATTTTTATCACAATAGCAAAATTTGAGGCCACGAGGCTGCAATGTAATATGAACGTTATGTTCGAACGTGTTTAGGTACATTTTCGCTTGCACCGACCTGCAAGTAGAACTAAAAGAGTAGGCTATTAAAATCATTGGTGTCGTAGGTGTTGTTTTGTTTGTTAAAAATGCTATGAGTAATCTATGTTATATGTATCACTACTATTGAAAATTAATATTTATATGTATTTATTTATTTTTTATTAATACTTTGTTATAAACATCTAATAATATTCGAATATATTTTGACACTTTAAATAAAACTATGGTTTTATTTTGTTTTATTGTGACATACGTTTTAAATTATACATATTTTTTTCATTAATCTGAAAAATCTCTTTCAAAAATAACACTTGTTCTAAATCATGTACAAGTAATTATTTTGTGGGACATTTTTATTTACATTTCTTTTCTTTTTTATTTACATTAGACCTCCCTTAAGGTGCAACTTATTTCTTTAAAAAAAAAGAATTATTCCTAACGCCAACAATTAAAAAAAACTTACATACAGCAGATATCAAGTACATCTTTCTTTATAAAGTTGATCAAAAACCAATCTTCCACAGGCGATTACAGCTCAGCAATGAAGCACTATAGTGAAGCGATCAAACGCAACCCGGACGACCCCAAGCTGTACTCTAACCGTGCCGCGTGCTACACGAAGCTGGCCGCCTTCGACCTCGGTCTTAGGGACTGCGACCAGTGCTGCAAGTTGGACCCCAAGTTCATTAAGGGTTGGATCAGAAAGGGCAAGATCTTACAGGTATGGAATATAAGTAACGATTTCACTTTGTTAATTCTTTATCAGTATAAAGAATAATTGGATCAAAAGATTTATAGATGAGTGTTTCAAATGTATATGGCTTATATTTTCATTAACCTACCAAATATGAAATTGTTTAAAATAATTCTCTTACTAGTTTCAATGATAAATTATATAAGAAAAACCTCGTCCAAATTGGATCAGTAGTTTTTGAGGAAATCGTGGATATACATACATATAGGATACTGGTCGAATACAGAACCTCTTTTTTTTAAGTCGGTTAATAAAACGAGTAAACTTTACAGGGTATGCAACAGCCTTCCAAAGCTCTCACCGCATACCAGAAGGCACTGGAGCTGGACCCGAGCAATGCTGAGGCCTTGGAAGGGTATAGAGCCTGCTCTACACAACTCAACTCCAACCCTGAAGAGGTATGACGTTCTTATTAAGTAATAGTTTTTGTTTAGGGCAAATATTGACTTGTTTTAATGAGAAAGTTTAATGTTTTGTTTTTGGGTATATATGGTGGTAAATACTTTTATTTAAAATATATATATATATATGTTGATTGTAGTCATTGTTGATAAAACCCAGGCAGTGTTAAAAAGCGATGCGAAGCAAATAATGTGGTTTTTTTTTAAATATAGTACTAAAGAGTCTGGATGGGTTACTAGTCAAATGATGTTGAATAATATTATATGTATAATACATAAATTTATTTTCATGTATCTCAGAAACGGCTCTAAAGATTTGTATCAAATATTATATTTAGATAAGGTTTAGCTTTTTAAATTTATCTATATAGGTGACTTTATTGAAAAAATGTATTTTTTATATTTTTTCCAACAAACGCTGAGCCAAGCTCGATCGCACAGGAACTGTTTATTTATTATTAAATTAAACACATTTAAAATGTTTTATTAGGAAGAAAAAATAAACTACTATATTAAAACAAATTTCTTTCCCTAATAAATCAAAATATTTATGAAAATATGAAAAATAAAAAAATAAAAATAATTTTATGTCGATTTTTGTAGTAGATTAACGTGTAATATTACTTTTTTAACACACTCTTTTAAAACAGGTCCGTAAACGCGCCATGTCTGACCCCGAAGTGCAATCCATCCTCCGGGACCCTGCTATGCGTTGCATCCTTGAACAAATGCAACAAGATCCTCAAGCTTTACAAGATCATCTCAAAAACCCTGAGATTGCAGCGAAAATACAAAAGCTATTGGAGTCTGGTCTCATCGCCATACATTAAGAGGAATCGATTTTCAGTGTTGCCAGTGATCAATCTGTTTCAGTACTGCCAGAGCTACGGAATGTTTGTGAAACCTCAATATAAAATAAATTTATTGTTTTTTTTATGCATTATTTAAATGTAAGATGCTTGAATATATATAAGTTTTATGCTTTACATAGATAAATGTCACAATATATGGTTCAAGTTTATTCTCAACATATTTTTGTGTTTGCAGTTTGCGTAAATAGAGACTATTTACGATTATATAAAATCTTAGATACAATGCATTAAATTTTAAATAAATATCCAATCTCTGAAGCGGCATTGAGGTTTTACTGCAAACGTCACAGTTAAAAATTGTTACCACTTCCCGCCTAAAAAAAACCAAAAAGCTTCATGGTGTATGGCAACATTCTAAAATCAAACCTAGATAAAAAAATACTTTAAAAAAATATTTTATTGATTTGAGCTACCACTGTTAAGTTCAATGATTTATGCCTACTTAGTAGTTGTTTCAATTTTAAGTAATTTTAAGAAGTTACATATGAAAGGTGCCTGTAGCGCTGATTGACATTTTTAAACTCATTTCATTAAATTACCGCCATTTTCAATATTTATATATGAATTTGATTGATCAAAATGATAAATCTAAATGTATGATGATGAATATGCAAAGTCAATTTAAAGTGTCAGCCGGCGTTAGATAATCATGTCATTGCAGGTAACAAGTTCATTTTATTTTAGAGTTAGGAAATAAAATTTATCAATTTTATATTTTATCTCAATGATTCGAAAGTGGCTTCGTTTTTAGGCTCTTGTAAACCATTCCAAGATACGCTTCAACGCTAAGTAGTTTGGTGAACATATTTTGTATGATTGTTTTTAGGATATTCAACGTTTATTTGAATTGATATCTATCTATGCGAGTATACTGCCTGCGATTGAAATTTTGTAATTTATTCAATAAAGTATGTAGGCATGATTATTTTGTTTCATTTATATTGCAATTTGTAACTAAATGGGAAGATCCCGTTTTATTAAAAGTCTTTGATTTTCGTATTTATAACGTGAGATGCAGGATTAAAGTTACATGTTCATACTATGTGAAAAAACTACTGGATAAATATTACAGGGTATAAGTTTGCAATAAGTAATTATTTACGTTATTTAAGGATTTTGTTCAATAATAATCTTCCTTCAAGGATCGAAAGTATATATTTAGTAAGTAGTGCGTAGGAGTCTAAATTGTAAGAGAAACGGCTAATGAATTCTCTCAAAGCTTTACATGAGTTAACAATTTCACTGATGTCTTGCCTTAAGATTCTACACATCGCTTACGTCTTCATTACGGCTATAATCTTAGTCGCTAAAATCTTTTTTTTGTTTTGTTATTTAAAATATTTTTGGGGGTTTCGGATAAGCGCCATCTATCGTCTATTCTAGCTAAATGCGTCTTTCCGTAGATGCAAAGGATATGTACTAATAAAGCATTTTCTGTGTGTGTCATATTTGTGATTTTATCATGGAAGAAGAGTAGTTTTACTTAAAATTAAAATGTCTGTCTTATTTTTTTTAAAAGTACACTGGACGCACGCGAACCCTTGGTAAAAGTTCCAGTCCGACCGGCTCTGTAGAGGTTCACCTCGGAGTTATTTCTCAATCAAATCAAGTGAAATATTTCTCAATGAAATCAAAGTAAATGAAAAAAAGTTTAACAAGTATATTGTATTTATTTCTATGAATATGTATAACACAGATTAAGGAGACTACAATGTAGGTATAACAAGTTTAAAATATTTTAAGTAACAAAAGCACGTGACCATAAACTAAACGCATTTATTAGTATAACTGTCAAAAACTCGATAGAAACATCGATTTAGTTCAAAATCATTAAAACTGAAGGAGGAGACAAATCTTTAAACAAGATATTTTATAAAGTTCTTTACTCTTTATGTCCATACACACGTGTTATATGCAAATCATTTTTTTTTATTGTAAGAAAAATTGTTTTGCAGACCATTTTTCGGTAGTATTGGTGATCAGTAGACAAAACCTCAATCCAGTGATTAATAATTTTGCGGATGTTCCTTGACCCTCTTCGCGATGGTGCACTTGGCCAATGTAGGAACAAAAGCATCTGCAATCATTTTTGTACCGATGTTTGGTACGGGATGACACCCTTCGGTATGCATCTGTTGTGTTCACAGACAATAAAGAGATGCTACGCAGTTGTGTTACTTTGATACTTTTCAAGCTTGGAAAACTATTTAAAAAACTAGTGAAGAAATTATAGCCAAAGGGCAAAAGCACAATGTTTGACTCACATAACATATTCCTAACTTAGTTCTAGTGCATTCTAATGTGCGGGAAATCATGGACAAAAAATGCTAACTAAATTCCTAGACCTTCCGTAGTAAAATTTTTAGCTTCGCTGTGTCCCAGCTGCTAACGTTGCCCTATACTGCATACATATTAAATAATGCACTTATCTAAATACCTATATTTTCCATTAAAATACCTTCCTTTTGTGAATAACGATTATGTATACGTATTTGTTAGGTGTAATGATATAAATTTAGTTCTAGAGATATGTGCATTCAATCAGACAAATAAAAGAAACAACCACTTCAGTTTTATGATATTATTTAATAAAACAATCGAATAAAACATCCGAGGTCACATTACAAAAATCTACTTATCGATATTAAAAATCGATATTCATCATTTGTAAAAGTCAAATGTCAAAATATAAATACAGTTTAAATTTTATTTGTCATCCATGAGTATAAGTTTTATGTTTGTTTACTGCTTAGAGTAGAAGTAAATATCACGAATCACGAACGTCAAATAGTATTTTCTTTTTTAATCGGGATTTTTGTTTGCCAAAGTGTTAATTATTTAAGTTTAATATGATATTATTTTTTGTAATGGTGTTTAGATAACTCTGCGGAACAAATTAATCTCATAGAAATGTATTGAGAAAATATTAATAACATATTATAACAGTTTTAATTCTTAAACTTAATTATAAATTTAAATTATAATTATCAGTTAATGCAGCGTAATACAGGTAAGTTCTGAAAAAAAATATATATTTCAATGTACCTAAATTTAATATTTAAAACACAATATAATATGTTCATAAAATGTTTTGCTATAAGTTTCCCTTGTCTTTAATGAGAATGTATGTTATGCATTATTTACTTAACAATAAAATTTCCATACAAAGTCAAACTATTTATTTACATTAAAGATAAATATTTTAAGAGTTATGCATAGGTAATAACTTTATATTTTTTTTAAGTTATTTGTTTGGTACTGAATTTTAGTTTTTGAGTATACCACTTAATTTTTCTGTTAGGAAGCATGCAAGTAATAATTCATTTCCTTATTGAAACATGCAATACTTGCCTCCATGTTGTGTAAACAATACTTTCACCTAACAAATAAATTAATCATTAATTTTTGATGCTTATGAATTAATTTATGAAACCAACAGGTTTCATAAAATATTATTTTTATTGTTATTCAATTCAATTGTCTTGTTAATGGCTTGAAAGTTTGTTATAATTCAGTATTTAGGTAAGTGCTAGTGACATAATAATAATAAATCATTTATCTTTTAAAGAAACAATACTTGTCATTGTCATTATATTTTTAAATTGACTTAAAGCCAAAGGTCATATTAATGAACCATTTTAATATGAAAACCAGTCTCCAGTGTGTCTTCCTCCTTTACACAATCAAGTTGAATAACGAATCATTTATAAACATTGTGCATCCATGCGCTGACTACTCATTACATTACATCACTAAATTGCTCTATAGCAGATATTGCTAGTAGTACTTCCTGTTCAAATAATATTATCCATATTTATGAAAAAATGTAAGTTTTATTTATTTGTATTTTTCTTAGCCCTTTTAGTTTCTGCCTAATAAGTCATTGGAAGAGATTTGCTATAGTATGCAGTAAAATTTGATGGGATTTTTGTAATTATCACAAAAATGTTATAAGTTTTGGCATTAAGGGAGGGATGGAGATTATCAAACCTCTTATTAATAACAATGAGAGACATATAAAATGATATTTGCCAACTTATGATAACTTGTATAGTGGTTACCTATATTAAAAATTATGGTACATGCAAATGAATTGACTTTTTCCTATGATGAGTAAATTCTACATTTTAGTACGTAAGGTTTATATTTACTATTTGTTAAGGAACATCAACTGGCCATATTAATTTACCACTTATGTATTTTTGCTGATACAATTATGAAGTAGTAAAATTAAGATCCAAGCACCCAGCGTCTCTTGTCTTGTGTACGATTGAAGGGAGGACCGTGCCCAACAGTGGGACATTAAAAAGGGCTAGGCCTAATACTACTTAGATGTACTAGGGTACAGGAAATACTTATTTGCAATATATAAATGACCTTCTTTATCAGATGTAAATTGCAAAATATATGGGATGCTTTTTGAGGATATTAATTATTTTTAATCTATTGTAAATTGTGTGATGAGATCAGCATTAAGAACCTAAAGAACTTATCTATAATAAATTAAGTACTTTGTCCTCTTCAACTCTCTGCTATTACTCAATACCTCATAATTCTCCCTTTTCTCCTACATGTCTTGTCTCTCACAATCTATCTATCTTTTCTTTTGTCTTCCTCTCCACCAAAATCTTCCTATCATTCTTTCAAACCTCATTACATACTCATAGCTTATTTTATCCATTGTCAGTCAATATCTGTATGTGATTTCAGTTAAAATAATAATTAAAACTTCTTGCGAAATATTTTAATAAGGCCAAGTACATACTACCCGCTAGACCAGCCTCATCCTGCGGCCCGCGGGCCGCATGCGGCAGCATCAAAAATCGCATTATAACATATCTTTGTTAACATAAAGTAACTACATCGATAACTTGGAATTACGTTTTCATTAAGACCTAAATAATTTTTGCCTGCGGCCCTCGACACCATGACTGAAACGTGTTTGTGGCTCCTAT